CAGCTGTATCCACAAAGACAAAACAAACAAAGGTAAAGGCACTAAATGAGTTGTTCGCTGAATTACACATCCTTTTAGAGGTGTCTGATAAAATTGTTTGCTATTCTAATAAATCGTTCATGTTGTCAATAGAACCTGTATCGTTATATAAGTAACATATGTAGATGTTTAATATAACATGCATTTCTCAGTTTGGCAGTTTTAAGTGTATTTGTATTCCCTCTTAGTAATAATGATCTTAATTTTTACAAAATATGCAAACATTTTGGCCAAGACTGTATAAGACATTATATTATAGTGTTACAATAGCACTATAGTGTTATAGTGTTACAACGTCTGTTAGTCGATAATAAACGTCCCGTGTTCTTTTGTGCGTAATGCAAGAACAACGATTTAGCTGAACTCCCATATGAACTGTTATGAATTTTTCTACACTTTATGAATACCTAGCGTTGATTAAAAGTAAAATTATTAGGACTCTTACTGCAAATACTTTATTACAACTTCTGTTGTTTTTTGTGTTTTTGTTAATGATACATTAACAAAAACACAAAAAACAACAACAGAAGTTGGGATAAAATGTAGGCACTAGATATCTTTTATTAATTTCACTCGGTGATATTTACGTTTTCAAATTACCTAAAGCCGTAGCATATGGCAGAAATATCGTCTCCATTAGATGCTTTTAGTAGGCGCCATTTACGTTTCCCTGGAGGATATGAAGAGCAGTTTTTCCACCATGATGAATAACTGCCCAAACATGTACTGTACCACATACTGTGTGTTCCCTGCGGGAAAAACAGTCTTTCCTCATCTGTTCTCTAGACAAATGACGAACACAAATCCTTCTACCAGCTTTAACAAGCTGGAAACATGTCTTAAGTGTCCTAACTGTAAGTTGGCATGCTGTCTTGCCCAAGTAACACGGTGACGGCGATGAATTCTGGTTAATATCAGTTTGCAAACAGCCCTTATTGCAAAATAACTGTTTGGTCAGTCTACTATTAACTGTTCTTAAGGATAACCTGGAATGGATGTGTTACTGTCATTCCTGTCATAAGGTGTTACAAGATATTTTTCGACCTGGACGTGTTAACCTGATCAAAACATGGTCATCTTGGGTGGGTGTTTTTCGACGTCTGCAGTAGACTTTCGTGGAATAAAGTTCCCTATAGTCCGATGATATTTCAGGATTCTTGATACAGTACACTGGGGATACCCTACTATTCTGGCAATGCCCGTTTACTTTATACCATTTCTGGACAGTCGAAATATTTGATGACCCATAACTTCTGGCACATGACGAGGCATGACTCTACATCAAGTACAGAGAAATGTTCTGAAAAAAGCGTTGATCTGTTTGAAAAAAAGATTATACCAAAAGCACATTCTTTTGTACAAAATAGGTTTGTATGTGTTTCGGCGAACAAATGCTCAAAACATCTTATACAGACCAGAATAACAATTCATATATGTTTGTCCGATCATACGCAACCTTTTCTGTTACTACTCGGGCATTTACTCAATAATTATTCGATGCTTGTAGACAGTAACATCAATATAGAACAGTATGCAAACGTTTTGGCTAAGACTGTATGCTTACAACAGCTCCTTGAAGCACATGCACCTGCTACCAAAACGAACCCTTGCAGAATGACGGATGGGCTTCTCTATATGATATAAATTGATGACTTCTCCAAATATTATTGGGATCAATCCTCCCTGCCCTGCCCCACTGTGAAATTATATTTTGGAAGAGTCGTGTTTAAGGTTCTAAATTTCTCGTCATTTATCTGCCAAATGATGTGTTGAACTTCTTTTTATTAAAACTGTTCTGATACCATCGTTTTGGCTAATACCTGATCATGGACCACTGTAACATGTAAGGATGACAATATAGTCCCCGTGATTTTCCTTTTGTGGTGTATTTTTACCCAAAGTTTTATAACTGTTAATTGGATAACAATATATCTTCCTTGATTTTCCATTGTTAGGGTATTTTTGTCTAATATCTTATAATTGGTTATTTCTGAATTACGGTATCCTTTAAGAAAGCTGTAAACTACTGTTGGGTTCATAGCAAAATTCTAAATGTATTTTTTGTGTTATTTGAGTCTATCTTGCCTTTTTTACTTGACGCACTCATTTGGCTTTAAATTTTGTTTCAGTGCTCCATGTGGTGTCTATTTTTGTTGCCATTTATTTTTATGTCATTGAATATGCTTCTCAAAGACATATTTTCACTTTATGGATTCTGTAGCAATACAGATGCTTTTCTCAGCTTGTGTGTGTTTTAATAGGTCAGCAATTTCGATAAAAGCAATACCTTTTCAGTTCTGAAGGGAATAACAACATTAAACGACTTCAGACGTTTTAGTAAAGAACTTACTATATTACTACATCAGATTTTGTACGTGTAATATGGTTTCTAAAAGTTTTTAGTATATTTGGAAACCTATAATGCAAAGCTTCCAAATAATCATGGCATAAAGACCATCGGGTGGGACATTTGTTTTTAGTGTTGTAGAATGATTGGATTCCATTATTACTGACAATAAAGCCCACTTTCTAATACTTTGTCCACAAACATACTGAGTTTTTGAAGTAAAAACTTTTAATATTCATTACAGACTAAACAAGAATCATTCAGTAGTAAGTTTAGATTGTGTGCTGTTCAGTGTATGTATTTAGCACTTGGTACTTGACCTAGAACGTCAAAGTAAATAAGAAACAGATATGGCAGGGAAATAAATTCAATTAGCTGGATCTGGTATTGCTTGGCGGTTAGGGCGACCGAGTTGCAATCTGAAGGTTGCGAGTTCGAATCCCAGTTTCACTAGATGCTTTTCTATATAGTTGCTGTCTGGGCTAGCCACCTGGGTGTAAAAGTTCTTGGCTTCCAAAATTACGGGCCGAACGTCAACTTGTTACCTAGAAGAAGACTAAATCTAATTACCTGGGAAGCTGGACAACATCAGATAGAAAAGGCGATCATGAAATAAATTGGAGAATAGGGATTGCAAAAGACAATTGCCTGGAAATGAAAAAGATACTGACAAATAGTAGAATGTCTATGGGGATGAAGTTGAGAGTTTTGGATGGTTATGTTATATCACTTCTCATGTATGCATCAGAATGTTGGACAATATCACCAATTATACAAAAGAGAATTGAAACAATTGAGCTGTAGTTTTTAAGGCATATCGTGTAGGTATGTTGGACAAGTTATTCCTCAAATGACGATATTTCGCAGGAGGAAGCTATTGAAAAATATCAGAAAGAAACAGGTGGAGTTTTTCGGACATGTTGTGAGGAAAGAGAAATTGAAAGTCTGGTCATAACTGGAAAGATTGAAGGAAGAAGAGATCGTGGAAGACAGAGGTTGACTTATGTCAAGAGTCTATCTAAATGGATGAATATATCGACATTAGAATTTTTTTGTGCCTCAAGGAGAAGAGATATTTGGAAGACCATGTTCACCAACGTCCTGTTTGGATATAGTACTTAGAGATAGACTCGCTCCTGCATTCTCACCTAGACATCTAAATTGAAACCAGCCATATTCACATTACCATCATACCTTTGCCCAAGAAGCCTTTGCATATCAAACCTTCTTTCGTCAAGAAACTGAAAAATTTACTTTTCAACTTGGAATGATGATTAACTGAATATTTCTTGCAAACTAGAAATTTCTCATTGATTGTAATTTCATTAGGTTTATTACTGTCAGTAGGCATTCTTATTGTTACATATCTCCACTGATACTTTTCTTCGATGTGCCTTGGGTGGTACTAATGATTATTGAATAAAATAATGCATTCTATACATATGTCATCTTGAACATGATGGACTAACATTTCAGTATTTTTGTATTGTATGGTTTAAATATGTAAAAAACAAAAAAACTTTTGGTTTTCTTAGT